CTTTGACAAACGTTCAGGTAGGTCGGGATAAGTACGTATCGAAAGTTCTCGTATCGCCTGGCTAAGTTGTTGTAAACTTTCACCGGCTTTCTGCCTCCGGACCCTTAACTGTAGCAAATAGTTCTCGGCTTGTTGAGCAGTTCCAAATCGGGGTTCTAAAGCATCAACTAACTCTTTCAAAGAGAATTTCCGGTTCTTAAAATTTCCCAAGACTCTGAGTGCAGGGCCCTTAAATCTAGCGGCTAAAAACTTAGCGGATTGCTGCTCAGTCCAACCGTTAACCAACCTACACGACTCGAAGTGGGTATGGTATTCGTACCAGGGCGCCTTCCCATCGTATCTGTCCGGGTTCACAATAGGCCGCTTTATGGCTTCGCCAAATATTCTTTCAAAGGCTTCTTTCCCGTAAACAGCATCTTGCCGCTTCAACGGCCATGGAGTTTCAGTTGTCTGTGCCTGCTGCACCTTATCTACGTCCACGGTCATACAGTTTGGCCTAGCTATCGGCCTAATCGTACTGTTGTAGTGGGGACTGCCAATCCCTACACCCTCACCAAGCGTGCAAGGTTTCTCGCATGTTGGGCTCTCGTTCGATACCGCTGCATTATAAATACTGTACTACTACTACGTACTACTACGTTCATTTTGCCCTAAACTATAACCTGGTTCAACGTCCATCGGGTTCTCTAGGCCTCGGCATAGGCTCATGTTCCTCTTACCGGTAATCGAGCCGTATGATTTACTCGTTTCCAGGAAAGATTGTTCTACTGGTGAGTAAAATCTAGGCCCACACGTACCTGGTTCATACAAGGAGCTAGGTACTTCAGGTTTCATTGGAAATTCTGAGTCCAGGTTCACCCTAACAGCGTTATGCGCTCTATCCATCTCCAGCTCAGGAGCGGTTGCTCTAATGTTGACGGAGAGCTACGCCTTCATACACCACTTTCGTTTAGTTGCCTAGTGTGTGTAGGCCTGTAGGCTACATAGCTGGTTTCCCGTTCAATGAAAGTACCGGAGTTAGGCCAAGCTTCACGTACACCAGATACCAACACACTATCACCGCCGGTACCAGGCTCTCGTTCACTGCGACTGTCGTGTGAGTTATCGGAACTGTGACAAGCCTTTCACGTTTCACAGGCAACAATGTATTCTCTCGTACATCTGGCCTAGGCCTAGCCCTCATCTCTCTTTCGAGCCTATCTATCTCGGCCTGTATTAACTGGAGCGTATCTTCCATAGTCGATTGTGCTAACAGATACCTAAGTACTAGAAATATTTAATGAAGTACAATGTAATTTTAATCTAACTAGACTGATCCCGCTTCTGACACCAATGTAGCGTTCCACCTAAGGACGACGTCTATCAGGATATTTCGAGCTGGGGTTCACGGAAAGTGTACCTCTCCGATTTGATGTTTAGCTCAGCTGAACAAACATACATGTACAACACGTTTTCTAAATTCACTGGCTACTGCCACTTTATTAGCACCACTTTGCCACGGGTAACTTACCCTTCATCCTAGGCCTACTATGTACTACCGAAAATGAATGTGGAATGACAGGTATTCAACTGTGCCGTAAGAACGTCCTATCGTCACGGGCTCCAGGTATCGAGTCTCTCCCGGTCAATACTATTCCCAAAATTAATGACTTCGTGACAAAGGCGTAATTACCCAATCAGAACATTCGGCCAATCATAGAGCGATTATAAGGCTCTTCCGAGCATTGACATACCCCCCACCCCGGCTCATGGCTATTCCATCAGCCTAGCAATTTCGCTACAATATATAATTCATACAATTCATGCATTAGTTACCGGTATGCAAGATACAACGTTAGCAAATATATATAAATACTCATATACTGTACATACATATACATATAATGACCTATTTATAACCAATAAAGTTTGGGATTTCTTAGGGTCTTACCAGCTTCATACAGGTAAAACTTTTAATATTTTATATTTTTATTTCAGAGAGGTTAAGACTGTAATAGGGAGGCCATTTACCAGCATAGTATGCATGATGCATTTAAATATAATTTCAACTTTTATTTTCAGATAGATGAGGCGGTGCTATGTGTGATGACAGACGACGAGCTTGAACACTATTTACCCAAATACGGGGAAAGAACAAATGCAGGTGATGAGTCTCATTCTGCAAATCAGAAGAAAGGCCTCGTTGAACGACTAAAGGCAAAGGCAATCCCCGAACATTCCAAACGATCAATAAGCCAATCAGGGAATAATAATGCAAAAAATAAAAAATAAAAATAACCGGCGTGTAGAAGTAGGCTGGTTGGACTTCGATGGTCCATCTGAAGAATTTAAGCAAGTCAAAGGACCTTCCGGGGGTTGCACAAGGCACGAGACGTTTCCGTTGACGAAAACGATGAGCGAAGTTTCTCAACAGGTTAAAGAATGGTTTTTCCCTACAGGCGTAAGCAGACGGGGACCATTAGCAGATTTTGATTTCTTCATGACCGACCCTACCCACCAAGAATTAGATGGCAACATGACCATAGGTGAATTGTACACGCGTAGAAAATGCAAAATGTTACGCGTCTACCTTGCCAGTAAATAAAAAACACAGAGTGTGGCAAAGGATGACGATGACGTGGAAGATTCCTCCGATGAATCCTTGCCTGACATTTCATTGTCTGTAGATGAAATGCTTCAAGAAATACTTGATGAAGATCAAATAATAGAAATTAGCGCCGACGAATACAGAGAATATACTGAATCAAGCCAGCCAGATTCCCCTCGTCCACCAACCCCACCAAGTGCTAACGATCTTCAACTCCCGCTGCACAGGTTAAAAGTTAAAAGGTCAACGCTTTTAAAAATCTATCGATTTTAGAAGCATCTTTAAAGGTCAGTTTTATTGATGAAACCGGTGCAGATGCACAGGGTTTATCTCGCGAGGCTTATTCTGCGTTTTGGAAGCAATGTTTCCTGACGTCTGCATGCGGTGAGACAGAAAAGGTCCCGGCGATTTTTCCAGACTACGGCAAAGAAGAATTGGAGGCCGTAGGACGGATATTACTAAAAGAATATATTGATACGGGTGTATATCCGCTGCAGCTTTACCAAGCATTCTCTATCGCCGTGATATTTGGTGAATTAAAGGTGCCATCTGATGTCATGTTCCAGTCACTGCGATTGTACGTAAGTGAGTTAGACAGGCAAGTTGTTGATAAAGCCTGTCGGGGAGAGGGACTAGACGAAGACGACAGGGATGACTTTTTAGATCTGTTGGAGAGGGTGCCAATTGCCACCAAATACCAGAGAAGGAAGAGATACGTCCGGTGATCCTCAGTATCGCTCATAAAGAGCTAATACAGAAACCTAAGTATGCACTTGATGGTATTGTCAGCGCCGCCAGAAGTGGTCTGAAGATCTTTTTCAATACCCCAGAAGCCCTCATTGAAATGTATAGCGTCAAGATGCCAACACCTCGCAGGGTGATCAAATTGTTGAACTGCGATCCAAAAGACAAAGAACAGTCCTGCTCTGTGGCTTACCTGAAACAGTTCATCAAGGGCCTAAACGATACCTACCTTAAGAAGTTCTTGAGGTTTGTGACAGGATCGGAGGTAATCTGTGTTCTTTCCATTAATGTTTCCTTTAATCAACTAAGAGGACTTCAGAGGGCACCTCAACAGGGGTGGCGCCAGAGGGGGCGGGGGGCTATAGCCCCCCCGTCGGAGAAGCATAGCCCCCGTCGGGGAAGATGATAAATTTTATCGGGGAACAAACAAATAAAAAAAATATTTACATCTCAACAACATTTCATCACAACAACAACCACAATAACAATAATAATAATAATAATAA